CTATTGTATTTAGTTTTCATCTTTGTTTTCTTAATTTCAACTTACAAAGTTAAAATTGCCACTTAGTGCTGTGGAGGTTGCGCGTGGCACTTATTGATGATGGACGTTCCATCAGGTATGCGGCTATTGACATGTAGTTCCCTACGAAACTCTGCGGGACGCCGTTAGACGTTTTCGAGAAACTGGGTCCTACGGTAAAGCCCGGTAACCACAGTATGACCGTTTTTGACTTGGACAATTTTGCGAAATCGGTACCTTAATGTTGTTCAAGCGATTCACCATCATATGGACTCATGGCTTTTCGCCCCCCAAGAGGACCAGACTTGACCAGAACACACAGAGTTACACGGCTCGCATTTGCTCGAGACATAGCCATTGGTCTTTGGACGATTGGTCTCCTGTACTTTTACAGATGAGTGTAGATTTGCTCTATGATCTCCAGAAGGACGTGAAAGAGGATGGAGAAGGCGAAATGATAGATACGAAGCTTGTAATTTTTCCCAGAGCCAACCTTTTCAACTTAGCTCAGTGATGGTGTGGGCGGAATTTCAATGGAAAGTCGTTCAGAGTTGGTCTTCGTTCGAGGAGGGTCTTTGACGACCATTCGTTATATGGATGAAATTTGGGAACATCACGCGTAGCCAATCCTCGATGAAATCAGCGACAATCCTGTTCTCATGCACGATAATGCCCGTCCACTTAGCCTGAACTCCATCGAACATTTATGGGACAACCTCAAAAGACGAATAAGAGCACGTCCATCCTGATACACTCCACGATCTTCTTCAGACTGGTAGAAAGTATGCCGGGGCGTTTTCGGGATGTAATTAAGGCAAGAGGAAGAATAATGCGATATTGAAATGTTAATTAAAATTGTAAAACAAAATTTAAACAAATTTTATCTGTCCCTCTTTTTTCTCATTTTTCATTTTCCTTAGCAATTTACATTTTTTTAGACAAAGATTATTAAACGTTAAAAAACGTGAAACTTTGATTAATATATAAAAATATATACAAATCAATTTATATTACAAGTGAGTTGAATTTTTTGCCTGTCAGTGTATAATTTAACTAAAATCGAACTGTAACGAAAGTTAAGTGCATCTTTTACTCGATTTTGAGCTTATACTAACGCCAAACTGCGCTGTTTTCACCCTTTGATATGATTAGGGTTGTTGCTTAATAAGTAAGAGGGTGAGTGACTTAGTGAATGAGAAAGAAAAATTGAGGGAGGAAGAGAGAGGGGGTGAGAGAGAGAGGGAGGGAGGGAGGGAGGGAGAGAGAGAGAGAGAGGAGAGAGAGAGAGAGAGTGAGAGAACACTGCCATCACTGGAAGATTTGTGGCCTGCCAACAGTTAACTCTTTTTTTTACATTAATTTTGATAAATACTCATGACATTTGCGAATAGACATCCCATGAAAGAACGGAGGCTGCTTTAGATGCCTTTTAGGAACTTAGGAACGAAAACATTCAACTTGGACCACAATAGAGGAAAAAAAACATTTGCTCTGGAAATTCATGGCCATCATTAAGCCCTAGCTGGATGACAGCCACTTAAGAGTATGGATCGGATCTTTTCACTCTTTATTATATAGGGCGGACGGGGCGTCACTCAGGGCAGCATCTTCGGTCCGCTACTATTCTTAGTACATACTCGTATCCTTTCCCGAGTCGGATGATTTAGGGGTGTTATCATTGAATTTCTCACCCGACTTTTTTTTCAATTCTTAAATACACGTATTCAGTAAATTGTTGCTGAATAAAAAATAAAAAGTTGACAAGATCTATCATCCGTCCATTTTTGTGTGTACCGGAATTGTAACGTCCCGGTTATCCTACTCTGTTCTTCTTTTTTTACTAGCGTGTTTGACGCCCGACCTCTTATGCATCTACTACAGGAAGAATTTTTTTGTTGTAAATGTATACAGGGAAGATTTTTGTTACGTGTCACTGAACTCCTGGATTGGCATGGAATGGACTAAGCTCCCACTCCCGCCTTGGGTAAAGAGGCAAGCCCGGCAACTTACCTTCTTGTTCACGGCTATTTTTAACTCACTAACAAACATCGCGTGAATCACGAACTGACCACCTCCGCTTATTAAAAATCGTAGAAAACAGCATGTTGTAAATTAAAATCGGATTTGTCCGACGAAAACATCATCAGCACCCCAAACGAGAGACAACAACAACTCCCAGAAAAAAAGCGAAACATGCTACATACATAAATGAATATATTATTGAAGAATCACGTTAGGTATTAAATGATGAATTATTAAAAATCAGACCTGTTCGACCGGCTCTGTTCGAAAGCTTTGGTGATGGATAATTTTTATTTTTTTTCCTGTGAATGCCAGTTTGCACTACTTCCCAGTTACTAAAGTAACCTCCATCTCAAAACAAGTCAAAAAGCATAGCCTCCATTCCTATTGTCGACCAATCCCCGATCTACATTCCAATTTTTAATTTTTTTATATATATCTTTGTATGACCATCTGTACAAACTAAATATATTCTGTAATGAGCGACAATACGATTTTATCATTTGGTGTTGTTATATATAGTTTCCGTCAAATTAATCCATTTGAACTTCGGATTAACCCATTTTCATTTCAAATTGACCCTTTTAAACTTTATGCTAAATTTTAATTTTAAATTAACCTTTTTAATTTCAAAACATTCCCCTTTTCCCTGTCAATTTAACCCTTTTTAATTTCAAATTAACTTTTTTTTAAAGCCGTTAAATTAACCCTTTTTAATTTCAAAATAATCCTCTTTTTTCTCCTGTCAATTTAACTATTTCTAACTTCAAATTAACTCTTTTACCCGTCAAATTGATTTGATTTAAATATTTTTGGCTTCAAATGTACTCTTTTCAATTTGAGATTAATGTTTTTTTTTTCCTTCAGAATAACTCTTTTTAATTTGACAACGATTTTTTAAGCTTCCAATTAACTCTTTTTAATTTCAGATTAACTTTTTCCTTCCAATTAACTTGTTTTATTTGACGTAACCCTGTTTATCTTCAAATTATCTCTTTTTAATTTCAGATTAACCTTCTTTTTTAGCTTTAAATTAATTCTTTCTTACAAACATAAAACAATCTAGGACAATGTATGAATTGTAAAGCGCGTAAAGTAAATTTTCTGCATTAAAAAATTTAAATATAAATTACTTGGGTTCTTAGAAGACCACATAAAAATTGATTTAAATAAACTTAAAATAAATTCAATTTAACTGAAGAACAAATAATTTTTCTTTTAATTTAGATTTTTTTAAATATAAAATAATTGGGCCTTTATAAAACATGATTTCTTTAATTAAAACAAGAATCTTTTATTGTTATTTAATTTTACATTATTTTCTTCTTTGCTTTCTTTTCATAAAAATGTATTTATTTTAATGCTAGAATATTATTTTAAATGCCATTTCATACCATCTCTAAAATATTTTAATACTTTAAAGAAATTAAAAATAAAAATGGTTAATTTCGAAGATAAAAAGATTATTTGAAATTAAAAAGGGATAATATGATGCGAAAAAAGGTTAATTTTACAAGAAAAAGTGTTAATTGTAAAAAAAAAGTATTGTATATTTTGTTAATTTTTTTTTAGCCCACCGGTTTAGCAGGGTGTTCATCACGAAAGGAAGCATTTGAACACGACATACGTACAAATGGGCTTGTTTTCAAAACACACCACGAGGGTTGATATGACGTCTGCTGTAGCGAACCCTCGTAAAAAAATTGACTTTTGTTATTTATTGTACATTAATTTGTATTATATGAAAACATATCTTTGATCATGATTTGTTTGATTTTTTTAATGCTTTTACAGAAGGGTTAATTTGAAATTGAAAGTTGTTAATTTGAAGTAAAAACATCAATTTGAAATGAAAAATATTAATTTGGTGTTAATAAAAAATGGCTCATTTGACGGCAAAAGCTCTCTTACCACAATTTAGACATTTCAAAACGTCTCCTTTAGAAGCTTATCCTCAATTTTTATGTATTATTTTATGTAATTATATTATTATTTTATGTAATTTTAATTTTAATTAATTTTCTTAGGTTTTTTAATGCTTAAATAGTTATTTTGAAATTAAAAATGGTTAATTTGATCTTAAAAAAATTATTTTGGAATTAAAGAATTTGATGTTAAAAAAGGGTAATTTGACGTTAAAAAGGATTGATTTGATGTTAACAAGCGTTAATTGAAATTAATGTTCAAATTGCTTTTAAGAGACCAATGATTTTATATTTACAATACAATCTCAAATTAAAGGAAGAACTTGTTTTTATATTAAATGTTATAAAAAAAAAATTAATTTTAATCGTAATGAATTTTCTGTGTTTTTAATGCTTAAAATAGTTATTTTGAATTTAAAAATTGATAATGATCTTAAAAAAAGGTTATTTTGAAATTAAAGAAAAGGCTAATTTGCTGCTAAAAAGGATTAATTGATGTTAAAAAGGGTTAATTGAAATTAACGTTAATATGGTTTTTAAGAGCCCAATTATTTTATCTTTACAATAAAATCTCAAATTAAAAGTAGAATCTGTTTTATATTGTATTTTATTAAAAAAATGAATATTAATTGTAATAATTTCAGTACCATGTTTACATTTTTCCCCATTCAGACTTGTCAATACACTTTTTGCACCAGTGTTGGATACAGCTCGGGCTAGTTGGCAAAATTATCATCCGTACAGGTAATAATGATGGTATAGGAATGTTAGTAGTGTATATATTATATAGTATATAGTAGTATAGTATATAGTATTGAAAAGATGGGACCAATGCTGCCTTTGGGACGCTGGAGAAATGTTTTTTTCTTGAACCATACTGATACCATACCGCTTGGAAGTATCCGCTACTTCATAAAAGAAACGAACAATTTCCAGGAAAAAATCTATTTGAAATTTTGGCAATAACACATTACTTACCTGTAGTAGTGGCGTTAGAATTTTGTTAAGGTTTTAAAAAATTACAAACAAAATTTCAAACAGTGATAAAATGTGTTTTATTTTCGATTAGCCAACATTAACAAAATAGTGTATAATAATTTAATCAAATTTAATTATTGCTTAAGTATCGGGGGTGATTTGTTTATAACACGAATGATGAGAACCGACGATTTCAGGTACTGGCTCGATGGCAGAAACTTCACTGGAATATTCCGATGTGCTCCACAGAAATAGGTCGAGCGTCCTCTCGGTGCATTCTGCGATAAACCTCATAAACGGCCGGACATCTCCTTCATTCGCCGCTTCCAACACTTGGTAGTATCTACAAAAAGATAAAGACGTAAAAATGATAACACTAAACGCGGGCCGTTTGCAGGTAATGGTTGACACGGAAGCCTTCGGATAAGCTGGCTGATGAGATTATGAGATTAATTACGTTATTTACAAAATATATGCACAAACAAACGGCTAAATTATCCCTTTTTAATTTTTTAAATTAACCCCTTTTAATTTCAAATTAGCCATTTTTAATTACAAATTAACCCCCCTTTACAGCGTTAAAAACATTAAGAGTTGATATGTAATGTAAGCATGTAAATAAAAAGTCCTTTATATTTATGAATTTTCTTAAAATATAAAATAATTTGGGTCTTACACGACTATTTCGTATTTATATAATTTTTAATTTTAATTGTAATTACTTTCCGTATGGTCCTCTTGGAACCTATTTTTTCCCCCAGATGAAGGAATTTTACTTTACGTGCTACATGTCCTAGGTTATTGATGTTTTCAAGAAAGGGTTAATTTAAAATTAAAAGAGATACTTTAATTACAAATAAAAAGGGCTAATTCGTTGCGAAAAAGGGTTCAAATCAGTTAACCTGACGCCACTTGGAAAAAAAATTGGGCTGTTAGGTCATATGAAAAAAAAATGTTTGAAATTAAACAATTAACAAGTCAAATTCAAATTAAAAATATAAGAAATTGCATATAAAAATAAAGATTCTTCTTTTAATTTGCGATTGTTTAAAATTCATTTAAAATAGTTTGGCTCTTAAAAACTACAATTTTACACATTTCTTAATTTTTTTAACCTTCAAATTAACCCGTTTTAATGTTAAATTAATACTTTCTTGAAAGCATTAAAAAACTAATGAGATCGTATGAAATATAGGCATGTAAAAATGGAATGCCTGCCTATTTGAGAAATTTTTTAAACATAAAATAATTGACCTTTAAAAACTACATTTTCCCACATTTATCAAATTTAAAAGAAGAATCCATTATTTTTACATTTTATTTATTTTTTAATGATTTAAAAAATATATAAATATTAAATTTTTTAACCATTAACCCCCCCCAAAAAAAAGGATCTTTATTTTTATAATTATTTGGAAATCGTGAGATCAAGAAACATCACATGTTTTATTTTATGTAATTTTTAATTTTAATTGTAATTAATTTTCATACTGTTTTTACAAACCCAATTATTATAACTAAAACATCTCAAAATAAATGAAGATTCAATTGTTTTTATATTGAAATTTATATAATTGTTGATTTTAATTAAAATTAATTTTCATAGTCTTCTAAGAGCCCAATTATTTCATGTTAAAAAAGGTCATTATTAACAAGTACTTAAAAATTTTATTTTTTTTTAAATGCACGGATTTTACTTTGCCTGCTTATATTTCCTACTATCTCATAAATTTTTTTAATACTTTCAAGAAAGAGTCAATTTGAAATTTGAAAGAGTTAATTTGAAAGTAAAAAAGATTAATTTCAAATTAAAAAGAGTTAAGTTGACGGAATTTTATAACTACCTACTGAGGGATCAGAATTCGATCATCAGCAAAAGTGCATATAATATTGTTAGGCAGAACAGGAATGTCGGTTGTGTATATTGTGAATTTGAAGGGTCCAACGGTGCTGCCCTGGGGGACACTCGCTTTAATGGGAATCTACGTAAAAGTGACTCTGAGAGATGAGGTCAGGTAGGATTCAGATATTAAAAAGTATGCGAAATGAATTCCCTTGAGCAAACAGCAAATCCGATCGAAGTCTTGAAATGATATAATTGAAATATATTTCTGTATTAGAAAAAAAAATCGTTATCCGTTCGTCGGGCATATAAAAAGAAGCATTCCGGCATGTTTAATTATGATGGATGAGGGTGTTTTTGCAATATCTCGTTTTATATTTTCCTTGGGGTTAAAGAGATTATCTCTATAATTATTTATTTATTTGGGGGTGGTGATATGGAATATCCAATCGAACTTTTCCATACCCTTTTTTATCTGTATATATATATATAAACCTTTAATACTTTAATACGCTTAACTTAGCTCGTGTTTCATCAAAAGCTTCGGAGGATTCTAAAAGAAAAGGAACTCGCACATACATTTAATGTAATCCATTTGTAATAAACTTTATTATAGTAGAATAAACAGGGAACTGAAAAAAGACAAAAGGTACACCGGCAGCCATGCTATAGATCCCGGTGTTTTCTAATTTTTTTTTTTAAATTTGTTGTTATTGTGTCGCATATATTTCAACAATCAGTGACTTCTTCACCATAGGCTCTCTTTTTGCATCCATTTCCCCTGGATCTCATTCACTTCCCGTTTTCATTAGCTTCGAATACGCAAAGAATCGCGTGCTTTTTTTAAATTTGTTTTGTTGTTATTGTGTCGCATATATTTCAAAACGGGCCCGGGGGTATCGCTGAAGCAATAAGGATATGGCCCACAGTTGAGAAGATATTGGGATTAATCCGACTCTACCAAATGATAACAGTGGGAATTAATGGATTTCAATGATATGGCAGTAGAGAACAGGAGAGAAATCAATTGTAGCGGGACTGGGCAAGTTTTGAGACGTAGGGTATGCATTTAGATTTTTCCGTCAAATTAACCCTTTTTCTCATCAAATTAACCCTTTTTAATTTCAAAGCAACGATTTTTTTTTACTTCAAAGTAACACGTTTTAATTTTAAATTCAAACTAGCTCTTTTTAATTGATAAATTAACCATTTTTAATTTCAAATCACTGCCATTTTTATTTCAAAGTAGGCATTTATAAATTACAAATTTCAAATAACCCTTTAACACCTAAGACGGTAAGAAATGGTATGAAAAACCATAAACAAAATTAAAATTCCTTTCCATTTGCGATTTTTGTTTCAATACAAATTAATTGGTTTCTTATCAAACTGTATGAAAATTAATTAAATTAAAATTAAAAATGGTATATTATTAAATATAAAAATAAAAGGTTCTTGTTTTAATTTGCGATTTTGTTTAAATATAAATAAATTGGCTCTTAGAAACCACAATTTCGCCAATTAAACTTTTTTTACTTCAAATAAATTATTTTTAATTTCAAATTAGCCCTTTTTACTTCCAAATTAACCATTTAAAGCATAAGACCTTAAGAAAGGGTATGAAATATTAGCATGTAAATTAAAATTCCTGTACTTTTGCGATTTTTGCTTGAATATAAACTAATTGGGTTCTCATAAAACTATATGAAAATTAATTACAATGAAAATTAAAAATGATATATTATAAAATATAAAAATAAAGGGTTCTTCTTTTCATTTGCGATTTTGTTTAAATAAATATAAACAAATTGGCTCTTAAAAACCACAATCTCTCACATTTCTCAGATTTACTTTTTTTTACTTCAAAAATCATTTTTATTTCAAATAAGCTCTTTTTACTTTCAAATTAACCCTTTATTTAAAGCAGCTTAGTAGATCATATGAAATATAAGAAGGTTTTTATGTTTAATTTTAAACAGCCTAACAGCCTGATTATTTAATACTAAAAACATCTCAAATTCCCACGAATTTTACTTTACATACTTAACATATTTCATACCACCTCCTAAGTTTTTTAACGATTTAAATAAAGTGTTATTTCGATATTATAATGAGTCAATTTGAAGAAGAAAAACGGTTAGTTTGAAATTGAAAAGGTTAAAATAAGATTAAAAAGTTAATTTGAAATTAAAAAGATTCTTTTGAGTGTAAAAACGGTTAATTTGACGGTAACAAAATGGATAATATAAATTAAAAGGGCTAATTTGAAATCAAAGAGATTAATTCAAAGTTAGAAACTGTTAATTTGACGGGAAAAAACTATGTTTGACAAGTGATGGTGGATTTAGATGTGAATTTTCAACGAGTTTATGATCTTTCAAAAATTCCTTCCTAGCTTTTTGTTAAGTATTAATTTATCAACTAATATTCTTACGCATGCTGAACCTCCATTGGGCCATTTATTGGGTCCGTCTACAACTACTCAAACCCGCGGGTGATGACGGACCCCGTAAGTGACCTCATGCCGGTTCTGCATGATTTCGCCGCCTAGGAGACCAACACCCAGCATCAGCTGTTATTCTTACGTTAGATGTCCCAAACTTTTGTAAGAATCTAGCACTTTTCTTTAAAGTTTATATATGGCGGGTCGGAGTCCCATTTGTTTACAGATTGTAAACATAATTAGAAGTCGTTTCAATATTCTCAGATCTTTTAAGCTATCTAAGAAAAAAAAATATTCTGGCCTGTCCGCTAATCAGAGGCTTTCTGTATTGTTCCAGCCTGTTGGATTACAGTGATCCTGTCCTTCATTTGATGGGTCCCTTAAGTAGAGGTGTGGATGGGAAATTTCCATGCCATTGCAACTTTAACGGTCATGTAAACGGAGGTGACCCCTAAACAGTGTCCCTTATCCGAGGAGGGGTACAATAATACCTTATTGCACTACTAAGATAAAATGTAAATCACCTCAATCTGTCCTGCTTTAAAATAATAACTGGTGGGTAGCCGGCATTCATTAGAATCATGTTCATCAACAGTCGAGAAGTTCTGCCGTTTCCATCGTGAAAAGGGTGAATGTGTACGAGCTTGTAATGCGCGAGTGCGGCGTATCTCACAGGATGGAGCGTCATCGATTTCCAGCTGTTGAGCCTAAACAGCCCAGAGCAAAGTCAGAGTTGGATAAGAAAACTTAAAAACAAAACACAAAAAACTTACCACTCTTTAAATTCACTCATAAGAGGAGGGATGCTCGAAGGCGCAGGAGGGACGTGATCGCCTACAAACACTTGCGTCCTACGAAATGCACCTCCTTCCGTCGGATCGGCAAACCCTAAAACCCTCTTGTGGAGCTCTAGAATGTCTTCAATCGTTAGCCGACCAATCCTCAAAAATGTAAACGATTTAAAATTAAGACATGAAAATAAAGCCCCCATTAACCTTGATGTTTTTGGCGTCTTAGGAGACTGTCAGGAAGAGTTCGGGATGAAAGGTGTTGGCTGGAATGAGGTTCCAGGGTTTTATGGAGGCTGTATCGACTTACTGTTTCGAAGATAAATGGGATTTGGAGGTCTGTGAGGATAGTAAGGTAGGATACAAATTAGCTTGGGGAATGGTTCGAAGGCTTTTGGACTGGATTCTTTGTTGGTTGAACGAAACGGTTGGGTTCATACGCCCGTCCTTCTGTTGTAGTAATTATATTTAGGTGACGCATTTGTTTTCTACTTAGCTTCTATTCTAGTTCAGTTCTATTCTTTTGAGTCATGCCATTGGTTTCTGGGAGAGATGTAGTTTGGAGTAAAGGTGGGTGATAAGGTAAAGGGTGATTTGGCTAGTATTTGGTTTCGTTGAATCTGGTTTTTCATTTCTTGAAGCATTATTCCAAAAAAGAGAGTCTGTCCTCTGGAGGTTTCTGAAGCCCATTGGGTCTGGATTGCTGAAAGGATGGCGTAACGTCTGATAAAAGTGCAGTGTATATATATTGAATATTGAATGGGATTTGAGGATGGTACCAGGAGACCCACTTCGGCACAGTGAATGCCTCTGAAAGTACCTGTGTGAAAGTAAGTGTGATAGTACCTAGAAAAGAATAACACTGGAGCATTCAAAGGATGGCGTAAAAGGTGTTTTTCAATTATTATGACAACTGATGGCAGCAAACGGATGGAGTGAATGAAATAAGGTTTTTGAGGTTTGGGAATGGGTTGGACAATTTCCATCGGATTGGGAAGTACCTTAAAGTCTGAGTTGTAAAATGGTTTTAAGGAAAATATTGTTGAGGAATATTTCGGAGGATGATTGTTGTGATAAGTTCAAAACCAACGGATTTTTTACTGTTGGGGTGATTAGACCTTTGATGGAGTGAAGGGTTTAGGGGAAAAAGTGGTAAAAGGTAGGTCTCGTGTGTCGAATGAACATGGAGATAACTTTTCCTCGCATCGGTGGACTAATAAACTTGATTGACATCCCAAAAACCAATAGAAACCAAGTCGAAATCTTCGGATATGGTTAATTGAGATGCTATGCGGGTTGGGATAAAACGATTCTTCGATTGGGTAATTTTTCGGTTCGCCGAGATCAAAGGCATGTTCCAGAGACGGGGTATATTATCAAAGGAAGAGTGATGTTTCGAAATGTAGATAATGTGCAGTTAGAGATAACATGACTTTTTGACAAATCGACTTGCTTATGTGAGAAAATCGATATTTATTCGAGAGGTTTATTTTGCATTTAGAATAAATAATTTATTGACTTGTTAAAAATTCTCAGTTATAAAAAACAGGATTAGTACCGAAAGGAAGCTTTGTAGGGAGGCAAAGTTCGATTTCCGCTAAATTAAGCATTTTTTACTTCAAATTAACCTTTTTTTTACTTCGAATTATCCTTTTTCACTACATACAACCGTTTTTAATTTCAAGTTAATCATTTTTAATTCCAAATAGACGCTTTTTAACTGAAAATTTGAAAATATCTTTATTCTTCATTGATATACAGGGTGTCTTTATTAGATGACCCGGCTGAATTCTCTTGAGCCAATGTCGCTATAAAAAATGTATTTAATATTTTTTAGCCTTGTTTCAAATTTTTACCATTCATTGGAGAAAAAGTGTACAGGGTATCCTGACCTACCATTTAAAGGATTTTTCATGCTGAAAACAATGGTGCAATTGGATTTTATGACAAAGTTATGGTAAAAAGTTTGAAAAAACTAATTTCGTTTGTTAATTTCAATAATTTGCTTCTTCACCAAAATAAACATTAATTGCCTTTATTGTTTACATTTTGTCATTGTTCGTCAAACTCGCATTACGAGAGGGAATCTTAATTCCTGGAGGTAAATAAATTTTAGTAAAAAACAATAGTACCTATCCGTTGCATTCAGTATTTCATTCAAAATGAACCGAAGAGCACATTTTTCCGATCAACAACGCGTTGATATGTACGACTGCTTTATTGATGATGTTGGTATTGAAGCCATGTTGTACTCCCAGAAATTTACTGATCACCCCAGAGTAAATCACGTATCGTTTATTCGTTGCTCGCAATATGAGGACGGAACAGCTGCTGTTCATCATCAAGAAACGGGCAGCGTAATTTCCAAGAGGATCTTAATATTTTACTGTGCGCGAAAAACCGAATTCCTCACTCCGAAATGTTGGAAGGGTTTTAGATTTTTAAAAAATAAAATCAGAGATGTACTCCGGGCTTACAATTTTAAGCCGTATCGCTCTCATCTTGTCCAGGAACTTCAGCACTCTGAGGATGACAGACGTCTAACGTTCCTTGCACAAATGTCGATTTGGGAGAGTGAAGGAAACGTTCTTCCATACATCCTATGGATTGATGAATCCAAATCACCTTTAATGACATACTAAACCGTTGGAATTTTCGAAAGTGGGCAGAGGAAAATCCGTGCATTTGGTACTCTTGTCATCATCAGGTGGTTCACAGATCAACGTTTGGAATGGACTTCTCGGGAGTAAATTAATTGGGCCTTATTTTCATGAAAATAATTTAAATGGTGCTCAATTCCCTTTTTTTTGTGGGAGTTTTACCAACACTATTACATGATGTTCCTCCTAGTAAAGTGGTTCTCAAGGTTTATGGATGCCCAGCACACAATTCTTTGCGAGTGAGACGTTATTTGAATCCTCACTTCCGTTATAGGTGGATAGAAGAACCTCATGGCTCGATCTGTTGGCCTCCTCGGTCACCCGATTTAACTCCCCTTCACTATTTTCTGTGGGGCCATTTAAAAAACAGTGTCTACGCCAATTACAACCTAGCAACTTCAACTGAAGAATTGCGGCAAAGGAATATAAAATGCTTGTCAATCAATCTCAATCCATTACTCTGAGCACCGCTGAAGAGTGGTAAAAAAGAGAAATCTTAGCATTTTTACGCAAGGCAGGCAGTTCGAACATTAAATGTGAATAATAAATAGCAAACCAAAAGACGGTTTTTTCCCCAAACGTTTTGCCATAACTTTGTCATTTTTCGACCAATTTAAAATCCGATCGAGCCATTGTTTAGCGTACAAAATCCTTTAAAGTGATGTAACAGGATGTCGTATATAGGGTCGTATTTGAAATTTTAAAGCTGACTAGGCCTGAGGTAGGTGTATAATTTTTCTTTAAAAAAAGTTATAATTTGAAACCATTGTTCTGCTATCTTCCTTGATGTCTCACAAGCTTTTGACAAGGTCTGGCACGAAGGACTCATCAATAAACTAAAAGGTATGCTACCAAAGCAGTATGTCGATATTATCAGTTCCTACCTAACTGACAGACTGTTTAGAGTCAAACAAGAAGATCAATATTCAAAATTAAAAACAATAAATGCAGGAGTGCCACAAGGTAGTATATTAGGTCCACTGCTTTACTTGTTATACACCAGTGATTTTCCGAAAATAGATGGAGTAAAAATTGCAACGTTTGCAGATGACAAAGCGGTGATATCACTAGGACCGACTATCACCCACTCAACCAAAATCCTCCAAAATGCATGTAATAAGATAAACGAATGGACAAAAAAATGGAAAATCAAGCTAAATCAACATAACTCAGTTCATCTAATCTTTACAAACAAAAAGGTGGACCATGTTCCGTCGCTCATAATCGATGGAACTACTATACCATACAGCAATACAGCTAAATATCTGGGAATGACCTTAGATGCCAAGCTGAGATGGAAAGAACACGGGAAGAAAAAAAGGACAGAAATAGGTTTAAGGTATAGACAACTATACTGGTTGATAGGACGTGGCTCCAATCTTGCTATACAAAATAAAATATTATTATATAAACAAGTCATAAAGCCTATGTGGACATATGGTGTTCAACTATGGGGTTGTACCAAACACAGCAATATCAAAATCATACAAACATTCCAAAATAAAATCTTACGTAACATGGTCAATGCACCTTGGTACATAAGGAAAACGGACTTACATAGGGATCTTAAGATCCCTGAAGTCACGGCGGAAATACAAAGATTTGCCGCCAAACACCAGGCTCGCCTCAGCCAGCACGAGAATGTGGAAGCGACTAAACTCTTACATTACCGAAACACGGTCAGAAGATTAAAAAGAACAAAGCCATATGAACTTGTGTAGTTAAAAGTGAATAGTGAAATGTAAATCTTATTGTACCAATGGGTTTATAAGAATGTAAACATTTATTTATTCTATAATATTATAGTAAAATTAATGGTTGGTCTAATAAGACCAGTTTTAACAAATAAATTTAATAAAAAAAAAATTTGAAACCAGACTAAAAAATATTAAACACGTATTTTTGTATAGTGCCATTGGTTCAAGAGAAATTCAGCCAGGCCATCTAAACAGGACACCCCCTATATAGAATTTTATAAAAGTTTAATTTTAATCGTAAATAATTTTCGTACAGTTTTCTAAGAGCCCAATTAGTTTATATTAAAAAATCGCATATATATAAAAATTTTGATGTGTGATGTCTGAAGAGTAAAAGTAAGTTATTAGTGAGAAAGGAGTGGGTTCAATCCTGAGTAATAGCGGGAGAGATTCTGGATGGGGGGGGATGTGACCAGACATGTTTATATCGGGTGTTACATGTTAATTCACTGGAATGAATGTAATTTATAAGCGTGAAAGGAAAAGTGATTAATTAATTTAAAAAGTTATTCTGAAGTTAAAAATTTCAATTGTAAATAATTTTCATATAGTTTTCTAAGAGCCAAATTAATTTACATTTAAAAAAATTCACAAATATGCACACAAATTGCTTTACATGCTTATATTTCATATTATCATACCCTATGTTTTTTTAAAATGCTTTAAAGAAAAGGTTAATATGAAGTTAAAAGGAGTTAATTTGAAATTAAATTAGTTATTTAATACGACGGAAAAAACTATATCTATATATAACTCTTCTCGTCTTTTCTCCAATGAGTTTAAACCACTCCTCAATATTTCGCCTACTTGCACCCCCAGAAAAGAAGAAAATCCTCACCTGTGGATCAAAGTCGTATTGATGTATTTAAGAGCAGCGTCCAGGCCGAGAATTTCGTTATGCTCGGCTATGCTTTTACCACCGACGGCCATCCGCGTTTCTACAATCGTTCTCGTCTGTGACAACGTCATTGTGTTTCCTTCTATTCCAACTGTGTGATATATGTGCTGAAAAGGGGAAAGAGAAACAGATTGTCAATAATGAACTGAAATCGAACAACTCTGCTTGATAAACGCAATCTGGCCGAAATAAAAACGGAGAAACTGAACATAGCTAAACTCCGATGAAATCCCATTTTTTGTCTTCAAACAAACTGCTCAATAACGAATAGGGATTTTGCCAATTTTGTAGTATTTATTTTCCCTAGCATTTTGATATTATTTTTATTATAAACTGCGTTAAAATTTATTATAAATTATTATGTATTTTACTGAAGGAAGATTTAATTATGGGATTATGAAAGAGAACAAAATAAAAGGTTTTAGTTCTATAATTTTGTTCATTGGACACAATAATTATTTAAGCAATTAACACCGTGTATAATGTCCTCTGTTAGCTATAACCTCTGGCAACTGTTAGGCAAACCTTTAATAAGGTTGCCACTAATTTCATATGGAATTTCACTCCACAGATGTTGCAACGCTGCACTCAGTTGTTGCAGGTCAACTGGCTGCGGATGGTGATCAAAAAACTTTCTCTGCAGCACATCCCACATGTTCTCAATGAGATTGGGGTCTGGAGACAACGGGGGAAGGGCCAGATGGGAAATTCCCAAGTTTTCTAAACAGTGACGAACAACTCTGCCTCTATGAGGTCTGGCATAGTCATCAGGAATCCCAGCCAATGAGATCCCTGGTTGGAGGGATGTATTCCTTAATAATTTCTTGGACATGACGGACTGCGATAAGGTTGCCTTCAACAATACGGAGTCCAGTTCATCCACCAGTGTAAATCCCAGCCCAGACCATTACACTCCTCCCAATTGCACTGAAGGGAGCATGAACTAGGGCATTGTACGCATCCCCTGTTCTCGGTGGACTCTTCGGCGTCTGCTATTTGCTATGTTATACAGACATAACTCATCAGTAAAGATAACAGCATTCCGATTGGTGTTTTCTTCTAGGCACTCGCTGCACCATATTCTCCTGAGTTGCTGGTGGAGGACTGTTGCTGCAGGTCGTCTCAAAGGGGCATACGATGTGAGGCCAACTTTGTAATCGTTTGTGTTGATAAAGGCCTTGCCAAAACATCTTGTACTTCATTTAGGATCTGGCGGGTACTATGGAAAGGGTTCCGTCCTGTAGCAGTGACAACATTTCTGTCATCCCTTAGCTGAGATCAGCTACCAGACCACCTATTGGCACTTACAGTCCCTCAGAATCGGGCTAAAGCCCCGGAACCACGCTCTGAGTAACGCCGACTGCTCCTGCGATATCCACTTGCCGGTGACCTCGATGACTCATTCTCACAATAATATAGCGAACGTTTCAAGATGATGTCTTTTCATGGTTAAAGAAAATGCGACTGGATTAAAACGGAGAAATGACGAGAAAAAATGTTTGCTTACAAACTGAGTAATCTTCATGTTTATTATTTTTAAGTAAATCCGTTATTAAAACTAAGGATTAACATTTGTTTCTTTTTGGTTTGTACTTCCCATTTTGTTTTATCCAACTAACAAGAATATATCGGTTAATTTAATTAAAATTAATAGAATAACAATCAATTATATTCATTTTTGAGCAGTTTATACAACTAAAAGTAAGATCAAAACCTATGCAGATGGGATTCATCGGAATCCACTGCGAAAAACCAAGTAACTAACAGTTATGATTTCAATTTTAACTTTCTTCTAGTTTTGTGTAAACGTGTTCAATATGGCTTGGGTTCGAGGAATTTACAGTTTTCTCTTCAAGTAATAGAGATATTGGAATAAATGTATGAAGCGACCCAGTTGAGTAAATTTTGTTCACTATTCTTAAGTTAAAATTAAGAGGCGTCTTTTATAACGTTTTAATGGGAAATTCTATATTTGACTCTGTAACGTGCATTATTTATTTTACAAGGGGAAAGAAGAACGTTAAAGCGTGTCAACGCCTCCTCGCCACTTTTATCACCCCTAGCCTTTTGTTTCATCCGGGCAAATATTGACACAAACCTGGTAGTACGCCTCCCGTTTGGCTTTCATTAAGGCAGCATTGGTTTCTGGAATCCTCGACACTGTGTCACGTTTCCCGTCTATCCTCCTTAACACCGAATTGTCCATCTCTTCGACGAGGGCGGATATCCTCCCGAGGTTGACTAAAGCCGCCGAATGACCAGGACTTCGTATTAAAGCCTAAAAAACATTATTTTTTAATAAACAAGTTGCATGTAACGTTTTTCCAACAAATTAACCTTTTTTATTTTCAAATTAATTATGTTTTCAAAACTAGAAATATACCCTTTTGAACAACTTCAGAACTTTTTCATTTCAACTTAACCCATTTTAATTACTAATTAATCCTTTCTGTAAAGCATTAATTGTCAAGTGTGGGGTCGACTTATTAGTTTGAATTGTTGATGCAAATTGATGTCTTATTTTATAGCTTTTTCCCATCAAATCAACCCTTTTTAATTTCAAATTAATTATTTTTTTAACTATAAATATACCTTTTTTAACTATAAATATACTTTTTTAAACAACTTCTGGATTAACTTTTTTAATTTCAAATTAATCAGTTCATTAAAGCATTGACGTAATATTAATGGAATTAGAGGAAATTTGCCATTTTTTTAAATATTAAATAATTCGCCTCTTAGAAAACTATGAAGAATAATTGCACTTGAAATTAAAAGTTTTAAAATTAAATATAAAAATGAAGCATTATATATATTTTCCGTCAAATTAACCCTTTCTAAATTTCAAATTACCCGTTTCTCACATCGAATTAGCACTTTATAATTTCAGATTAACTGTTTTAACATCCAACTAACCATTTTTAATTTCAACCTAACGCTTTTTCGCAGCTTTTAATTTCAGATTAACTGTTTTAACTTCCAATTAACTATTTTTAATTTCAACCTAACGCTTTTTCGCAGCTTTTAATTTCAGATTAACTGTTTTAACTTCCAATTAACCATTTTTAATTTCAACCTAACGCTTTTTCGCAGCTTTTAATTTGAGATTTTTTTTCGTAAATTAAAAAAAATTGCGCTCTTAAAAGCCATACGAACATTAATTACAATTAACTCTTTTCGCATCGAATTAGCTTGTTTTAATTTCAAATTAACCGTTTTTCGGATCTAATTAGCACTTTTTAATTTCAAACTTAGCCTTAGTTACGTCAAAAAACCCCAGAAACAAAAGTAAATTAAAACTTATCTAATAAAGTAAAATTATTACATTAAAAAAACTGGGTTCTTAGAAGAATAAGGAAATTAATTTCTATGAAAACTAAAAATTACATAAAATAAAAAATACAAACATAAATACAGAAATGATTCTTCTTTTAATTTGAGTTTCTTTTAATATAAAATTGTAGATCTTTTAAAAACCATAATTTCTCTAAGTAAAAAAAAAATTAATTCCATACCACATAAGTTAGTTCAATATGTACTTAAAGGGTTAATTTAGAAGTACAAAGGGTTAATTTTAAGTTAAAAATGGTTAATTTGAAATTTAAAAGGATTAATTCAAAATTAAAAAGGGTTAGGCTGAAGTTGTTAAGTTTTAATGGGATTGATTGCACACAAAATGTTTAAAAAATTGACACAGCGCTCATCACTATAAGGTAAAGGCCCCTTGTTCGAATCCCGCGGTCCTGCATTCAAACTCTACACACAATTTTTTTTTTTTCGAAAACACCGGCACTCCGAGTGTTCATATAACCTCCTAATTGAAATATCCTCGTTTAAAAAAGTGTACGAATAATTTATTGACGTTAAAAAATCTCGAATTAAAAGAAGAATCCCCCAAATATACAGGGTGTTCGGCTACTCGTGTTACAAACTTTGCCAGTTGATTCTCGTTCAAAATGGAACCAAAAAGTCCTAATTAACTATGGTCTGAATCTCAGCAGGAGTTTACTTAATTTCACTTAACTAACTTAACTTAATTTTATTGGGTTGTCCGGAAAATAATGCAGGATTTTAAGTTTTCATTAAAAAAAATCTATATAAAATATTCTGTTTACGTTTACAGGATTANTTTGATTAAAGAACATTGCTTTAAAGTAACTAGTTTCTTTTTTTTTGTTTAATACCAAAATCCTGCATTATTTTCCGGACAACCCAATACTTAACCTTTACTTTTTCTGATTTTTTAAGATTTCACGGCCTTGCTTCAAATAAGCAATGGTAACTCCAAAACTAAAAGGTTTTAGACAAATCCGTTTATACCATTGAAAACTAGGTTAAATTTCTATTAAGATGTGATCAACATTAAACTTGTAAAGGTTTGTGAAATAAGAGTTTTAGTAGCTAGAACTTTGAAAAATAATTTTTTTTCAAAGTTGAAAAACTTACTATGGCGTTTCTAAACTACTATTTCCTAGCCTAGAGACCAGCAAATTTCAGCCAATGTACTCCATTTACTATCCTTTTCAGCAGTGTAATTGCTTTTTAAATTACTTTTTTCAAAGATGAAGAAAGTGATGAAGGAAAGGAAAACACCTTGGTTGACGAATTGGTAAGGTGGAAAGATAAAAAAAAGTAAATAAATAAAATAAAAATAAAAAACTTAAGAAAATTTTGAATGAATTTATTAATTTTTTTTTTAATTTGGGTTCGACTCCGAAATAGTGCAAGTGTTTACTTATTTACTAACACGACTGCAACTTTGAATAAAGAATTATTATATTATTATTCTCCGAAATAAAAGAGTTTTAAGATTCAAAATGTTTTTCGTTATCTATGTGATATCTTGCTAACACTATGGCTAATTTTTCTAATGAAGAATACGCTGATATACATCTTATATACGGAGTCAGTGCGTCGAAAATACATTTCGAATTAAAATTATAAAGCGTTTAATAAATTCATTCAAAATTTCCTTAAGTTTTTTACTTTTTATTATTATTAATCGTTCCTCCTTACCAATTCCTTCCTTCAACCACGGTTTTTCCCTTTACTTCATCAATTTCTTCTTCTTCGAAAAACGTAGTTAAAAAAGCAATTGCACCACTAAAAAGGACATCAAATGAAGTAACGTTTGCTTTACTTTGCTGGTTTATACGTTTCGAAATAGTAGATTAAAATCACCATAGTAAGTTTTTCAACTTTGAAAAAATAAATTATTTTTCAAAGTTATGGGTACTAAAACGCTTATTTCACCAACGTTTACAAGTTTAGTATCGATCACATCTTATTGGAAATTTAATGTAGTATGTAGTAATGGTATCAACGGATCTGTCCAAAACCTTTTAGTTTTGGAGTTATCATGGTTTATTTGAAGCAAGGCCGTGAAATCTTAAAAAATCAGAAAAAGTGGAATAACTCCGAAATTGCTAAGATTTGGATCATAGTTAATTAGGACGTTTTGGTTCCATTTCGAGTCTTTTTCTCGAGCTCCCTGTATAAGAGTAAACTCTAACCGACAATGGAGGGATTTAGTGAAACCGGACCCATCCACCAGACCAACGGCAACGTGTGTGGGTGCCGTCTCTTGAATGGGGAGTCAGATAGAAACGGTGTCATCCCCTCTCAGCAAGCATATAGTGTACAGGGCGGAACTCAAAGCCAAATCCCTCGCGCTGGGGATCGTCGAAGGAAACCAAGAAAATACGTTCATAATATACACAGACTCCCTAAGCGCTATACGCAAACTAAGGAGAAGAGCATCCGCAGGCCCATTAATCAGAAAAATATATGAACTTAAAGGTATCGATCGTCTCGGCCATGGGTTCCCGGGCACATTGGTATAACCACACGAACCCCCCCCCACCAACTCTATACGTCCAGCGGATTTAAAAAGAACGAGCGCTAATGCTATAAAAAATGAATGGAGCATCCGCTGGAACGAAAGAAACACATCAAAATTACGCAAATGCAAAAAAAGACCTCCGTCATTATACTGCGGAGGCTGTGTCTAGAAGGGAAAAAGTCATACTTATCAGGTTGAGCATAGGTCATACAAAGAACACACACTGACACCTTCTAATAAAGATGAGACGACGTAGGTGTCCGTGGTGTGGAGGGTTTATACTGTTGAGCATAATTATGGGACTGCGAAGAACTAAGTCAGCAAAGAAATAAATACAACCAAGAATGACCTATGCACTTCTTTGAGGCACGGCAACAGGCACATATTGCTGATCAAATATCTCAGGGCAATAAATATTTTACATTGTATATATATATAATATTCGTATGTATATCTTATCCTTCATGTATGTAATATGTGTTATTTATTGGAACAGATGTATTTATTTGCGTGAATGGAAGGGCTTATCTCCCAATTACCCAGAGGAATATCGAATACTCTGGGGGTAAAGTGAATGAATGTGCGAATGTAATTTATTAGCGTGAATGAAGAAGTTTATCCCCAACTGCCTCGAGGAATATCGAGTAATGTGGGGTAGTGTGAGTGCTAACCAGACTATCATGTTTTTATCTTGTTTCTGCGTTTTTGTATATTTGTGTTATTTTATCCACACTTGACGAGGCTCTGAGGTATAGAGAGGTTAGCAATAAGATAAAGAAAAGGAAGGGTCGTTATAAAATATACTATAATAAAACATCACAACTTATTGGTTGGAAGAATACTGGAGAAACAGTAAAAGAAATTAGTAGGTTTAAAACACGAGAAAGATAAAGAAAGGTATGTAAACATAAAGAACTGATTCAAAATTTTAGAAAAAGTGAAGCTGGTGTCGGTCCCATTGTCAAGAGTTCTAGACGATCTGTATAATTTTAAAGGCAATTCGCACATGCATATTTTATAGAGGAGATTACCTACTTTTAAGTAATGGTGATCAGCTTCCACTATATCAGCTTTGGTGGATTCCAGAAATTCTCCGTAATAGTTCAGAATGTCCGGACTGTTGGGTGCTAAGGCCAGTGCATGCTCAAATAATCTTTGAGCTTTATCCATTTTCCCTGAAGCGATCATCTCCTTCGCGGCTTGGATAGAACTGAAAGCTTCAATCGTGTTGCCTGTAAAACAAACATACGAACGATCTACATCAATAACGTAACGTAGAAAACAAATTAACAAGAGTAACACGTTATTTAACAAGGACATCACTCAGTTAATCCAGTTCAAAAATTTATATTTCCAATCGAGAATTTCCATACAGTTATAAATTAATAAATAAAAAGAGAAGGTAAATTAAGGGCAAGTTAACCCTTTTTAATTTCCATTTCAACTATCCTTTAAAGCACTAAACAAACTTCGGAGCTAGTATGTATATAAGCTTGCAAAATGAAATAATTGCGTGTCTATTTCAGAATATATTTTTAAATATAAAATAATTGAGCATTTCTCAAATTTACAAAAAGAATGCATTATTATCGAATGTAATTAGGCTCTCAGATGATCAAATGAAAATTATTTTCAAATAAAGTTAAAATTATATCAAATAAATATAAAAAAAGGATTCTTATTTATTATGCTTTTTTCGTAAATATACTCTACGCCGATATTATAAATTCAAACACCTTTTTTTATTTTAAATTAACTCTTTTTGATTTCAAATGAATCTTTTTCTCGCATCGAATTAGACTTTTTTTGTATTAAATCAACTCTTTTCGTTCAAATTAAATTATTTTTAACGTCAAATAACCATTTTTAATTTCTAATTAATCCTTTTTAACTTCAAATTGACCATTTTTAATTTTATATTAATTCTTTTTAATTTCAAATTAGCCGTTTTTAATTTCACTTTAACCCTTTTTAACTACAAATAACCGTTTTTAATTTCAAATTAACCCTTTTTAATATCAAATTAACTCTTTTTAACATCAAATTAACCGTTTTAATATGATATTAATCCTTTTTAACTTCAAGTAAACTGTTTTTAATTTCGAATTGAACGTTTATAACTTAAAACTTACATTTTTATTAATTAACTCTTTTTGATTCCAATTTAATCTTTTTCTCGCATCGAATTAGTCCCTTTTTCTTCAAATTAATTTTTTTAAACTTAATATTAACCTTTTTAAAAAAATGGACCATTTCTTTAACACAGCAGAAACCTAGGAGTTAGAATTAAACATAAGCACGTAAAGTAAAATTCCTGCATTTAAAAAATTAATTAATATGTAATTTAAATTAATATAAACTAATTGGGCCCTTTAAACCACATGTAAGTTAATTACAATTCAAGTTATTAATTATATAAATTTAAATATAAAAACAAAAGATTCTTCTTTTAATTTTTTGTAATAAAAAGTAAAGACTCATAAAAACCACAATTGCTCATATTTCTCAAATTTATTAAATTTTTTTAGCTTCTAATAAAATCGTTTTAGTGCCAAACTAACTAACTTTTAAAGCAATAAAAACGGAATGATTTTTCTTTCATTGTTTCACGTGGATAAAATGGAATTCGGACGTTTCTCTCCTAGTACAATCAGCACCGGACCTCGCACCTTCACACTACCAGGCACTACGACTGCAAGAGAAACGAAAGACGAACGTGTCGAGTCACGGGACTCGCTATTGTGGACTAAACAAACAAGAAAACGCGCAGACTTTTCCAGTTTGCCCCGTTGGGCACTATTTATGACGGTGTAACTGAAGAACGAGGAGACTCCCAAAATTTTGAAATATAAACTGTTTTAGGGACAAATCGGAAGGTGAGGAAGGATTTATCTGGATGTTAGAAAGTTATTGATAATAAATTGAGTCTGGTCTACTCACTGGTGGTTTCTATCTTCTTGGACGAGGTCGAGACGTCGAACTCGGGCGAGACGTGCCGCTGCATCTCGAGGTGCATGGAAGGCGGAAACATCTGGAAAACTCCGACTTCCCTCCGCTGGACGAGAGGTGCTTCGCTTTCCGGCGGCCCGAGATAGGCGTCTTTCAGACGAAGGAAAATCAGAGAGATGACGACTCCGAGGGAAAAGTAGACGAGAGAAAAACAAGGCGACATCGAGGAAGAGAAGAAGAAGCGATAATCCGCCCGGGAAAAGAGCCGAAGTCCTGACCAGGTGGATCTCATCGTCACGTCCCTCGTCATTGTCCGACCCGCTTTTCCACCTTCCTGGCTGTCTTACGACGTGGATCCTCCGGATACGGGCGCATTTCCACTGACGACCGACGTCCCGGAGTCTCGAGGACAATATTTATCACCCAATTACCTGTAAAAGAGAGATCCGAGTGGATTGGAAAAACGGCTAATCCTTCAGATTACGTTTCATCCGTCTTAGAAGCGACATATCGTGACGGTAACGTGTCCAAGACAAACATACCAAAAAATGTAAACAAATCACAGAACGAGAGAAACCTCCAACCCCAAAGTGAGAGCCTTAGAGCCTTCCGCCCCAAGGCCAGTGGCTCGACTCTCGAACGTCTCACCGATATGACGTCACATCACCAATTCATCACATTAAACAAATAGTAATAATATATTTTACGGAATTAGTCCAAGATAAAAAAATATGTTTAAATATAAAAATATAACAATATAAAAGCTGTTTCCTAAGAAAACAAAGGAAAAATTTTAAATAATAAATATGTACAAACTGCTCAAAAATGAATAGGGATATAATTGTTTGTTATTCTATTAATTTTAATTAAATTAACCGATATATTCTTGTTAGTTGGATAAAACAAAATGGAAAATACAAACCAAAAACAAACAAATGTTAATCCTTAGTTTTAATAACGGGTTTACTTAAAAATAATAAACATGAAAATTACTCAGTTTGTAAACAAACATCTTTTCTTGTCATTTCTCCGTTTTAATTCAGTCGTATTCTCTTTAACCATGGAAAGACATCAGATTACAAAGTTGGCCTCACATCGTATGCCCCTTTGAGACGACCTGCAGCAACAGTCCGCCACCAGCAACTCAGGAGAATATGGTACAGAGAGAGTATAAAAGAGAACACCAATTGGAATGCTGTTATCTTTACTGATGAGTTATGTCTGTATAACATAGCAAATAGCAGACGCCGAAGAGTCCACCGAGAAAAGGGGATGCGTACAATGCCCCAGTGACAGGAGCATTTTCAACTGCACCCTCCCTAGCACTTGAAATCATAACCAATACCACACCTCTACACATTGAGGTTAAGGTCAAAGCACTAATCAGCTGCTACAGATAATTAGCGAAGGCAGCTGGAATCTTAAGTGCAATAGGTCACTAGAAAATCTCACAACTATTGAGTAAGGTTAACGGCCAATTATTAAGCGTTAGTGATAACGAGATTAAAACCCCTTCAGGGAAAAAGTACTTTCAGGTAGTCACCCTTTGTGAATATAAATATAGTTTGAATAATGAGCATCGCAACATAGACTTCTACACACATGGTTCACTTACCAAAGATAGAGGGAGCGGTGCAGGAATCTACATACTTAAATTAGGAATCAGCATCTCCTCCCCTCTTGGCAATAACACCTCCGTTTTTCAGGCGGAAATCTGGGCCATTAATGTGTGTTGTAGAACACTTACGGAAAATAAAATTATGGGAAAAGATATTAAAATCTTTTCTGACAGTCAGGCTAGTCTTAGGGCATTACAAAAATATTTGTCAACCTCAAGACTGGTGGAGGAAACCGTAGATCTTATCAATAGGATCTCTTAAAGGTTTGAGAACAAGGTAACCCTCATTTGGATACCAGCACATAATGGACACCATGGCGGATAGCCTGACCAAAGAAGGCTCTAATACTACGTTTGTCGGGCCACAACCGGTATTACCTCTCTCTACGAGCACAGCGAAAGAGAATATTAATAATTGGGCATGAAACAATTCCTTAAGGAGTGGAATTTATCCCCCGGACACAGGCAATCGAAAGAGTTTGTTAAGGTGATCAAACCAGAAGAATCGAAATGGCTGTTCAAGGATGGGAATTAGGAGGCTGATAGACGGGCCACTGCCCACTGAGAAGACACCTCTCAGTAATGGGTATTCTACCAGATCCCTTTTGCAGTTTTTGCGAAATAAAAGAAGAAACGGCAAGGCACTACCTTGCAGAGTGTGATAGGTATGCTAGGTCTAGATTTGAAATCTTTAAAGGAGCGGACATCACCAAATCACTGCCCGAGATAAAATGGTCCAAAATCTTGGGGTTTGTGAACAAGTCCAAGAGATTTATGCAGGATACGTGAGCCGACCAAGTCCCGGACCTTTTAGGGATGGGGCACGAGTCTACCCAGGCATTTAACCCTTCAGGTCTTGTCGCCCACCCTGTATAATATATACAATGCCCCAATTAATGCTTCCTTCAGTGCAGTTGGGAGGAGGCGTGATTTACACTGGAGGACGAACTAGACTCCATATTGTTGAAGGCGAGCAAACCTCAGTCCATTATGTCCAAGAAAGTATTGAGTAATACATCCCGTAAACCAGGGATCTCATTGGCTGGGATTTTCGATTTCTGAATGACAATGCCAGACCTGATAGAGACAGAGTTGTTCGTCAATGTTCAGAAAACCTGGGAATTTCCCATCTGGCACTTCCTCCATTGTCTCCGGACTTCAATCCCATTGAGCACATGTGGGATGCGTTGCAGATAAGGCTTTTCGATCACCATCCGCAGCCAGTTGACCTGCAACAACTGAGTGCAGCGTTGCAACATCTATGGAGTGAAATTCCTTATGAAATTAGTGCGATCTTATTAACAGTATGCCTAACGGGCACACGGAGGTTTTAGCTAACAGAAGACATTATACACAGTAGTGCCGAAGATCGTGGGTTCGAATCCCGCTCTTGCCATTGACTTTTATTATCTCAACTAAAAACCTTAATTAATTGTATTATACACAGTTTTAATTGCTTTAAAAAAATTATTGTGTCCAATAAACAAAATTATGGAATTAAAACCTTTTATTTTGTTATCTTTCATAATCCCATAATTAAATTTTCCTTCAGTAAAACACATAATTTCTAATAAATTTTAACGCAGTTTATAGCAAAAATAAAATCAAAATGCTAGGGAAAGAAGGCAAAATTCCTATTCATTTTTGAGCAGTTTATTTGATGACAAAAAATGGGATTTCATCGGAGTGTTTAGCTATGTTCAGTTTCTCCGTTTTTATTTCGGCCAGATTGCGTTTAGCAAGCAGAGTTGTTCGATTTCAGTTCATTATTGACAATCTGTTTCTCTTTCCCCTTTTCAGCATATATATCACACAGTTGGAATAGAAGGAAACACAATGACGTTGTCACAGACGAGAACGATTGTAGAAACGCGGATGGCCGTCGGTGGTAAAAGCATAGCCGAGCATAACGAAATTCTCGGCCTGGACGCTGCTCTTAAATACATCAATACGACTTTGATCCACAGGTGAGGATTTTCTTCTTTTCTGAGGTTGCAATTGGGTGAAATATTGAAGAGTGGTTTAAACTCAACCCCAAAATGCAATACAAACATTTTTAAAAGAAGGAAGCAGCTTCGGTTGGCCGCCGCGTCGGCAGAGAAGCTTTCACGTATCGAGTGTATTGTCGATAGGTGGCCCTCGGAGGATCTGATTCGTAAAAGGTGGTCATCCTCCCCCGATTAGGAAGTAGCCATACGTGGTTGACATAAGGACACTTGTATTTGATCCAAAGCCCATGTATGTGTCCGGCATGTAGAGAAAGGTTGCTCCATGCGGCCCACCTAGTTGAGTGAGGTGTGCAATACATTGGCTCCATGTAGAGAGCGTGAAGGAGTGCCACCCGATATGTGAATCGTGCTTGTGCATCAAAAGGGTGATGGAGGAATATCGATTACTCCACAATTCTAATTGAATTAACGTTATGTAAATAGGAGAGAACGTATTTAAGAATGAACTGAGTATGAATCGTTTTAGATCTAGAAGCTATGTATGTGCATTTGTGGATTTTGGCCTATATAAACCCAAATCCAAAGCCAAATCTTTTGATTTAACAACTATTCTGAATTGTGGTTTTTCATAACCCAATTATTTTATATTTTTCTTATATTTCATACCATCTCCTAAGCGTTTTTTATAATGCTTTATAGAAAGGGTTAATTTGAAGTTAAAAGGGGTTCATTTGAAATTAAAAAAGGTTGTTCTAAAGTTTAATAAGGTTTATTTTAAATTTTAAAAAACAACAATTAAATTGAAACCAAAAAGAAATAATTTGGAAAAAGGATTATTTTGAAGTTGGAAGTTAAACAGGGTTAATTGAAAATTAAAAAGGTTATTCTGACTTAAAAATGGTTTATTTTAAATAAAAAACGATTAATTTGAAATTAAAAAGAGATATTTTGAAAAAAAAGGTTATTTTGACGTTAAAAATTAAAAATGGTATATTTAAGATTAAAAAAGATTATCCTGAAGTTGAAAATAGCTTATTTTAAATAAAAACGATTAATTTCAAATTAATAAGAGATCATGTGAAATTAAAAATGGTGATTTTTTGAAGTTATAAGTTAAAAATGATATATTTAAAATTAAAAGATGTTATTCTGGAGTTAAAAATGGTTAATTTAACGGAATACACCTTGTATACATTCTTTCGTATATTCGTAACTGTATCTAAATATGTATAGAAAATAAAATACAAATAAATACATACTATAAATAATAATGCAGTTCACGAACGGTTGACTGACATGTCAGAAACAATTAAATTTTCTTGAAAAAAATATTGGCTGCATTCTTTTTGTAATAAAAAATCGCGCATTGGTTTTTTTAAATTTTGACAAGTTTTTCCAGCCGCCTTTGCCCAATTTGATTGCATAGATTTCGTTCTACAGCCTCATAAATTACTAATTACTAATTGACAGAGCCTAAAAATTACTAATTAGGCAGAGGAGGATACTCATCCTAGATTTATTTATATTAAATTAAAATTATGTATATATATCATGTATATTATAAATACGATAAGGTCTCTCGTTATTTGTAAATCACTATGATTCTTTCTTTGTAGTGGCGGAGGTAAGGAAGTCCGATGCGTATGCAAGATAGAAAAAGTGGTCTAGGACGCTTCCTTGTATAACTCCCGCTTTATATCATGGTTTTTTTGTTTTTGTTTTTTTAATAAAAAGGGTAGTTTAATAAAGTGCTATTTAAAATTTAAAAAAAGTATAAATGTTATCTTTTTGGTCCACCCTGAATAAACATTTTCCATAGGACAATGGAAGGGTATAAAGGCATTCCTCAATGGGTCTAGTGATTATGAAAATCAGAGTACGATATTTGAAATATTTTCTGAAAAGGGTATATTATGGGATTTTGGCCAGTGTCCGGGGGCGTTCTTCGACGATTCAATTTCTTTATTTACGATTTTCAGTATCGAAATTAAGAAAACTGACTCGAGATGGAAGGAATAAGTGGATTCCTCGATTTAATTACTCCAAAAACACGATTCGACC